AACCTGCTATGTGTGCATATTTTGGTTACGTTGAGTCTATACAAACTGTTTTCCTCGCCTGGGGAATGGAATTATTATTTCATTATTGAACAACTGAAACAAACTTGTGATTGTGAGGCATCTAGGATGAATTTATAACATATTCATCACCGTCCGAAGTCACAAGGAACACTGACTGGCAATTCAGGAAGTTAGACCTTAAATGTCACATGTTACTTAAAGTACTCACGGTTTTTGATTGGCTGTTAGACCTTGTTGTTTACGATTATGACCAAATGTGCACTGAAACACCACAAACTTGTATTGAAACCTCATGTGCTTCAGAAATTTTTTTCTACGTGAATGTAGTGAGTATCGATAATCTGAGAAAAGATAAAGTTATTAGTTCCTGCTTTTTGGAATTCATTAAGCACACTACCGAATTCAGTTCGACTTCCGAAACGCTTGTTAAGTTTTATACGTCGAGACTCCTCGCTTTTGTTGATTGAAATGTATCTTGAATATGAAGCACTACAAAGAGCACTGGGTAATTGTTAAAAAACAGCTATTCATTGCAATAATACTTTATTAACTGAAGTACGATCAATATTTACAAATTACAGGTTATTTAATATTCTGTCTTAATCCTTGCATAAAACAGAAATTCACACATACTTTGCGTATGTAGAACTGTTAAATTTTTCTTAATAAACTGTTTCTCTGGACCTTATCAACTTTTAAACAAAGACAGGAAAGCTCAGTAAAGTAACTGATATCCCCGAATCTAGAACGATAAAGTGTCTGAGACCAGATTTATGTACTCAGAAAGAAACAGTAATGAATCTTTCTTTGCCCTGTTAATATTGCATTTATTGTATTGTATTGTACCATTTTTTATCTCAACTCTCGCTCTCAAGTTTTCTTTACATCACTGCCATTTCTCTTGAATTCATAATTTTCATTCTAGTTGACTAATTTCAACTCATGTTGTTCTTCATTACCATCAATCTGTTTTTAGTCACTTCATTATACAACCATCTTCAATTTGTTGACTCTATGATTTCTAATCACTAGTTAGGTGTTCTGGAATTCCCCCTCTCATATTTCATTTATTTATCTGAAGCAAAACTTTTTCATGATGTTATTAATCCTTTGTCACATCACGATACCTATATTCATTTCTATTCACCTTCCTATTCACAAGTATGTTAATTTGTATGATAATTCGGATTTAAAAGTATTAATTAGGTTGTGAGTAGCTTATGAGATCCTTGTGAAATCAAATCATATTATTTTGCACCAAATCACTATTTTCGCTTCTTCAAAGATAATAAATGGATCTATGTGTACGGAGTATTTAATTATTTTTTTTCATATATTAGTAGATATATACATGAAAAATGCAGTCAATAATTTAAATAATGTGTATATGACTGATTTATCCTGCTTTCATGGCATAAAAATCATTATTATGCATAAAGAAATACTTACAACTTAATCCAACATAAAACTTAGTATTGTTTGTTTGAATCTTCCCATCGATTTGTTAGGACTGCAACTGGTCAGTCTCTAATTGGCATATGTGCGTATTGCCTCGATATACCTTAATTCACAAGCATGGTTAGCAGAGATGGATAGTGGCTAGCAGAGGAAGAGGAGACTGACCAGTTGCAGTCCTAACAAATAGATGGGAAGATTCAAACAAACAATATTAAGTTGAATTTAAACTTCACCCCATCGCACAAGCAAGTGGCTATCAGGACTCAGTGGCCGAGTGGATAACGCAATGGCGTTTGAAGCGAGGGTACTGGGTTGGAATACCAGAGTGAACATCAACTCTGAGATGCAGGTACATCCAGCTGACGAGTCCCAAATAGGACGAAACGCGCGTCCTGGATTCCACTGCTAGCCACTATCCATCTCTGTTAATCCAACATACATTCAAAAGTAGAAACAACTCATTTACCAGATATTTATAAAAGCACTCAACTTTGTATTTTATTTTAGTTATATGGTAACTGGTTTTACTAACCGGATGCCTAAACAAAAAGTAAATGACATGGGATTAGAACTTGTCCATTTACTGATTGGCTAAAAACTGGAAACTAACTCGTAAGCTATTCCTCTTGAGTTAATACATAGTTAGAAAGCTGATCAACATGCTGTTACATAAGTGATAAATGTAATCTAACTTCAATTAAATACCTTACACCAAATAATATATTCATACACTGGTCCACACATATAAGCATAACTCAATATTTGACATGTCATAATACTTTAGGGACTTATGAAAGCTTCAAGACCAAACCATCCAGCTCAAATCAAAGAACTCCACCTAAATAACTTATTACTTCATAAATATACCATTATTTTTTACAAGATTATGACGCTGATGTTTGATTAACAATAAATCATACTTTATTATATCCACATTAAATTGATACAATCGTAACCAACATCTTGGGTTGTTGCCTAGTAAGATAAAAAACTTTTTTTCGCTTCACATCATGATTAATGCTGCTAAGTGGTTTGAATAATTTTAATGAACAATTCATTTTACTGTTGGACCAACCAGTGTACACGACCCACTCATTTATCAATCCTAATTTAAGGTAGTTCTTTGTAGTTACAGTACAATCTGCTATCTCCTAGTATTCTTGTAGATCAGTAAGATATGAGTTATATGAGTGGAAATAATTCTATTTTGCATCGATTCGTGTGCTGTCATCTTAAATTCATCCCTACTAGTCTACCAGTCGACTCATTTATAACTAAAATGTACGTTACACTAAGAGTGTCTACCATTATGTTTTATTAGAAAAGAAAAATATAAGTTCACTCCATTAGGAACCGATCAATGTCGGGTATATTTTAAATTATCCATTTAATACCCTTCGACAACGGTTGGGTATCCTGCAAAAACATCCTACATGAGAAAATTATGAGGTAGATGCTTGAATGATACAAAAATAGACAAGAAACTACTTTTTAATTTGCAAATACTTTCTCTCTCATACAATATTATTTTGTATTCGATACAACTTCCCCTTTGTGAATCCTTAATCAGTGTTTCATCTCCATTTGGGAAAACCTCACTTGAAGAGTATATATTCCCCGGTTGTTTGGGATTCACATCTTTTTAATTGAGAAATATAGATATATCATAATCCTATTCCATCAAACTATTTGTATTCTCCCGTTGTAAGCTGATCATTTTACCAACTATCAATGTGTACCTCTTGGATAACTTTGATCGTTACTCGATTTTCAAGCGAAATAGTAAAATTTACATAATATCTACAAAATTATGACTTAATGAAACAATTGCAAACGTCTAAAAACTTTGGAAGATAACACCACCAGGCTCTTACGAGTGACTTACGTTTTTTTGTCTCTTTCAACTGATATTTCACTGTTTAAAAAGATTAACTTCAAATCTACTAAAATGTCATGTTGTGAGAATAATCAGTATACCTAATGCCCCATCTATTCACTTAATTTAACCACTCACTGAAGTTTAGATGTAGAACAGCATAAATCCACATGATTCAGAGATGCTACACTTTGTAAGAGCACATTATATACGGAAATTAAAGGGATGAAAGAAAAGTAAATGAGTCAAAATAATGAAACATTATTAGTGGTCACAAGACACTAGGTATATAAAATATAATTTGAAAGGTAGAAACAAAATCGGTAGGTAGTTGTATGAAGTGACATTGAGATTCAAAATCTGTAATCAGACAAGGAGTGAGTACTGTTATAAACTGTAGGATACTTGTTATAACGCTAGGCTTTCTTGTTATAACAGTCCTTTCACTTATTGATGTGTGTTTGTTCTCTCACATCAAAATCACCCACCTGAGCTACAAATCTTCACCATCTCAAAGTCCTTTCACTTTTTACACGTATGTGCGACGTTAATTTACCTTAGACGAATATCTACACTACATTTTCCACCCAGTGTCTATTCTACAGGACTTCAACACAACTCAGACCAAGAACACGAGATTAGCCTGACTATAACGTCAATACATTTCCACACCGAAATCCGACACAAGGAACAGTCAATACATAATAAGAATATGGGAATATAAATAACTCATCTTACACCTGTCACCCTATCTAATGTCTGACTCAGCAAAACAACCAATCATTGTCATTCTCGCTCACACATCAAGTACATATACACCAATGGGATTAATCTTCATCTATGTCACTCAAACTTCAAAAGCAATAAACTTGTATCTTTAAACACTTCAGTTAAACAGTCAACGATTCAGTAGACAAATTGGCATGTTTTGGTTTGGACATATTTATCCGTATTCAAACTTACTTCAATATTATCATTATATAACTTCATAAAATGATTTGGATTTGCTGTTTATTTTTCTCTCACCATTGTATACATTGCTCATACTTTACATCATAACATATTCTTATTTTTGCCTACTTGAAAAATCGGTAGCCAGATTAAAATGATACACTTAGAACACTATGACTAAGTAAAATGAAATACAACACATTACAATACTATATCACTTTAACACACACCTAGTTTACAGTTCACAACAGTCTCAACCTGTTGTTAGAGATACCAGATTACATAGCACAGGATTTAGAGGAAGATAGAGAATTAATCCGACTGCGCCACTGTGATTTATCTAGCATTAAATCTCATTTCCTTAACTTGTCATTTTGAGATCTCATTAATTTCTTAACACTATATTCCCTATAGTTAAATTTAAATCATTGCTGATACTATCATTTGTTTTCACCTGTTGATTTTCTCTCCGGCACATACACTATGACGATGTGAGTTGTAGCAGTTAGGAACGATTAATCTTGGTGCCAAAACTCAATTTGGTGAAAATAGACTGATATATTTTATTTATATTATCTTTATAAACTATGAAATTCTTTTCGTTAAGTAAATAACAGAACAAGTATATTACTCTTGAACTTATATATATATGCTTTCAAAATATACATCAGGATATTTGTCCACTTAGAAAAAATTAACCCTCTGTACAATCAGCGATTACATTACTGGTACTTGAAATAATTATATCATCTAATAATTCTCCAATATTCTCTTTACAATCAGGACAATAATTTATGAGAGGTGACTTTTGTATAGATAACCAGTAATCTTCACCAAGATTTGTCTTCCATTTCATCGTAATTGATGACAGAATATTTTTCCATAGATCAATTGAATATTTTTCAGATTCCTTGAACAAAAATTGGATTAAACATTGAGGGACACTGGAATTTTATACAATACAATACATAATTGATGACAAGCCACAAACTTATAGTCACAAGCATCACAACCAAAAATGGATGGTGGCTAGCTGTGGAGTCTAGGACGTACGCTTCGTCCCATTTGGGACTCGTCAGCTAGATGTACCTGCATCCGAGAGTTGATGTTCACTGGAATGCAGGTACATACAGATGACGAGTCCCAAATGAGACGAAGCGTGCGTTCTAGATTCCACGGCTAGCCACCATCCTTTTTTTGCTTATGACGTTATGTAAACATTACCTAAGAAATAAAAGTACAGTAATATTCTTTTTCAATCCAAAATACTTCCCATAACTGGTAATATATTATTTTTATCCTCCATTCTATTAGCCAAAACACATTAGAAAGTCCACAGCAGTCATTAAAACATGCTTTCTTACCGTCCTATACTTTGCTACAACTACATAAACAAACGATTCTCGTAAATCAAACTCGTCAGCAGATATTTTGGCAGTAAATCAGAGATTCAAAAACCCAAATGATTAAAGATACTTGATATTTTTATTAACACAAGGGGCTGATTGTCATCTTCATTGTATTCTGCATGGTCTTCATCCGAAAAGAACTTTTCTTTAGTGTATTTTTTTCCGTGAACAGCACTAAACATCTTAAAAATCTCCAGGGTTCTTTAAGTTTCACAAAAAACACAAGTAGTTCAGTTACCAAATTCATCGGATAAATAGTAGAACAACAGATGTGGTTTAATAAAACTATTGATCATTGCAGTAAATTAGAGAACTGTAGCAAATATGTATTTACGAAGATGCATAAAATAATTGGATGCTTATTATTTATGTAGATCAACAATTTTTATTTTTATTTATTTAAACACATATATATTGGTACAAAAGGACACCAGATACATATGCGCCACACAAAATAATGAAAGTAGGAAGAGAAGGGATGAAAAGATAAGGGAGACTGAAATGTACAACCAGAAGACTCTTTCAGTTAAGAAAGTTAAAACCACTCTTTATGTAGAAAGTAAAAGAAGGTTGCAGCAGGATCGCCACTGGCTTCTATTCTGAGCCATATCTGATAACGTCTCTAACCACTGTGTTGCATCATCTCTCGAACCCCAGCCAAGGAGTCGTGAAGGACCAACAGAAGCTAGCCCTTTGCAGCTTTCTTTCATGCCACGACACCATGTCATACACTGACCACCTCTCCAATTTTTCCAACCACTCCCAGAGTCGGCAAATAATGCACGACGTGGAATTCTCTGGGACGACATTCGTAAAACATGTCCAAGCCACCAAAGTCGGTGTTTCAAGATGGTGACACCAACTGAATTATAGTCTCTGTGCCCGAACACACGATGCCGAACCTCTGCATTACTAACATGGTGTTGCCACTGGATGTCAGCAATCCTTCGGAGACAACGATGATCGAACACAGAGAGTCGTTTAACATCCTCAACTCGGAGAGGCCAGGTTTCACAAGCATAGAGCAAAACTGCTCTCACCGACGCGTTGTAGATCCGACCTTTTACAGCCAGACTAACATCACGAAGGCGCCAAAGGTGGCCCGGATTGGCATAAGCCGCTCTGGCTTTCATTATACGTGCATCAATCTCATCACTCACGCCATCACCAGCACTTATATAGCTACCTAGATACACGAACTTCTCAACTACTTCGATCTGCTCACCATCCAGGGTGAGTACAGGATTAGAATCCTGCCAGTCTTGTAGAAGTACTTTGCACTTGGAGGGTGCAAAGCACATGCCGTACCTGCGGACACTGATTGCCAACTGATTAAGTGCTGATTGCATGCCTTTGGCATTATCGCACAGTAAGACAATATCATCCGCATACTCGAGGTCGAGAAGTCGTTCTCCAAGCAACATATCCACACCGCCATTACTTACATCCATCAGAGCTGTTTCCAGGATGTCGTCGATGGCAAAGTTGAAGAGGAATGGGGAGATCGGGCAACCCTGTCTAACCCCACTGCTCGAATGAAACAAGGGAGAAAGGTGGTTGTATGCCCTCACTCTGCCTGAGGTGTTCGTATACAGGGCCTTTAAGATGTTAATGAACTTCTCAGGCACACCCTTCTTCAACAGACAATCCCAGAGAACAGTCCTGTCCAACGAATCGAAGGCCGCCCTGATATCAAGAAACACTACGATTGTTGGCCTGCGATAAGTATGACGGTGTTCTAACATTTGGCGGAGGGTGAAGATGTGATCAATGCATCCTCGACCAGAACGAAAACCAGCCTGCTCCTCGCGAGTCAAACGTTCTCGAGTTTTAAACAACCTACGAAGAATGAGAGAAGCCAATAGTTTGGACGCAATCGGAAGTAGACTTATCCCCCGATAGTTGTTACAGGAACAACGTGAACCCTTTTTAAAGATAGGGACGACTATTGACTCATTCCAAGATGTTGGAACACTTTCTTGCTCCCAAACCTTTCCAAACAACACAGTCAATTCCTTAGTCAGAAAGTCACCATCTTTAAAAAGAACCGGAGGTAAGTCATCTGGGCCCGGTGATTTGTAACGTTTCAAGAGTTGGAGTTCCTTGCGGAATTCCGCCTCGTTTGGTGGATCAGTCATCACCGGCCATGGGGGGCAGGACAAACTGGTTGGTGCTGCCGGAGCAGCAGGCCAGTTGAACTGCCCTTCGAAAAATTCCGCCCATCGTCCAAGACGTCGACAGATGTTATTGATTGGCATCACGTCATCCTCGTAGGTTGTTTCACTCACACCAGACTTCTTGCTGCCAGTGGCTCGGATGAGTTGGAAGAGCTTCCGGCAGTTACCAGATGCAACTGCTGCTTCCATCTCATTAGCACGCTCCGACCACCAGGCTTCCCGGTCCTTACGCAAGCTTTGCCCGATTTCATTACGTAACAGCCTTCGTTTGTGGTCAAACTTACGGTCACCCGGAGTAGACCGACGGGCTTCCATCAGTTGTAAGGAGCCAGAAGAAACCCAGTGCTTGTAAGCGGGACGTTTCGCGAAGCCGCAAGCGGCTTTACTCGCCATTTTCATGGCGTCGTGAAGATGCAACCAATGCTCATCTATACTTTTCGGTGGGATGGTAGCTAGCCTAGAAGCTAGCTCCGCTCGATACTTACTTACAACAGATGTTGCAGCCAGTTTACTAACATCGATCCGTTGGTGGTGGTCAATCCTTCGGCCACTGAAAAGTAAGATGAGATTGGCGCAGACCAGGGCATGATCACACTCCAGATAGGTACTCCAAAAGGAGCGGCAGTCTTGTACACAACCACGCCAGCGGTAGCTGATCGCGATGTGATCAATCTGAGTCCAGGCTTGAGATGCAGAGGGAGGACGCCAGGTGGCACACCGGCGATGACTGTGCCGGAAGTTAGTGCTAGCCAGAAACAGGTTATGGTCTATGCACAGTTGCATATCTGTCCTGCGACCAACAAGTCCCCATCGACCACCTAAACGACTCTCTTTTGTGCCTAGACGCCCGACCTGTGCATTCAAGTCTCCGGCTAGTACTACAATATCTGTCGAACGCGCTTTCTGGAGAAGAACTGTTAACTGGTGGTAAAACTCATCCTTGATTGCATCCGGGCTGCAATCTGTCGAGGCATAGGTGGAGATGACGAAAAGACACCGTTTCTCACGCCGATTTCTTCTCACTTTGATGGAACTTTCTAATCTAACAGCACATAACCGACTGTTAATGGGGATCCAATCGATTAGTGCTGCCTCAGCCCTAGAGCTTAGTGCAACACCAACGCCTGCAAGACCAGACGAAGATGCCACAGGGTTCTCGGATAAGCGCACGTGAAACAAGCTTTTAGAAGCGACAGATGGAGAGCTAATTTGTAGTACTTCACTAGAGTCTTGAATACGGGTATCGGATAGACAGCAAACGTCAACATTAAGACTTTCTAAAGACATAGCCAGCCCCATCTGTTGTCCGATCTGCATTCGTGTGCGAACGTTGAAGGAGGTCAGCTTGAACGGCGTACGTGGTTTCAGAACGACTGCTTCAGTACTCGTAATCGGTGGAAGCATTCACTTTCAACCAGACAGTGACTGGAGATCGTTTAGATAGGACAGAGTTTCCACCATGGACGAGCTACTGCATAAGTTGGAAAGGAAGGATATACAATTTGGGAATAAAGGGAGTGAAAAAGCGACGTAGTAAATAATAGTAATAATAATAATAATAATAATAATAATAATAATAGTGTAAATTGTCTTGCTTCTAATATGAGCGAGAATAGTATCGTCAATAGAATTCATCATTTCGTTTATTTGTGTGTGATACTGACCGGGTGCCCAAACCGAAGCAGGTGGTTTTCTTAGGGGGCCACAACCAGAGCCTTTGACCTAAAGGTCTGATCCACAAGGCAGTGGAGCATCGTATGGAGATGCAGTCCCATGGTAGCCGTTGACCAACAATAGGTTCATTCGCCATTCTTTCCTTCAGGATACTAGAGCCCATGTTCACCATTGGTTTGGAATCAGGGTTTTCCAACTTCCCTAGGTGGACCCTCCGTGTCCACCAACCCGGTTAAAGCGCCGGACATTCGCTTTTCGTCCTCTCACTTCCGTAAAATACACCCCCTCCACGAGAAGGCAGTGGGTAGGACTTCCCTGGCAGAGGCTATATATTTGCGTGGCCATGTGAGAGCATTTCGAGAGGGAGTGGACTCTCCCCACTCTCGGCCGTACCAGGGCATTTGGGGGCAGATCAACAATGTATTATTTGTGGAAATTCAAGTGGAAGCAGTGTAGTAATCTACGAAATTCTTATACCTTAAGAAAGTGAAACACTTAAAATATGCGTTATGAACGCCATTCCAATCTTTTACTGTAAAACACAGAAAGACGAAATTTGAACTGTAGTAAAATCAAAACTAACAAACCACCTCAGGAATCTTAAGTATACGGAGCGCTGGTTCAGCGGTTAAGACCTTAGGATTACAGTCACTTAGCCCCACGTTCGAACTCCTCTTTATCCAATTCGGTCTGAGCAACGTGGTGGTACTATTAGCTCTCATATCTAAAGTACGGCTCATACCCAAGTACCTGGTGCATGCGTTAATTTATTGTATATTCTTAGGTATATACAGAGTACATAGGTCAATATTTGATAACAGTTGGCCTTCCGTAAGTCGGGGACATGGTTATCTCCAAAAGTAAGATGACGAGATAGCGAAATTGAATGTTGAAGACGCTTAAAAAATGCAGTAAACAATCAAGCCTAGTGCGTATATGCGCGCACATACAATAATTCGTCGTGCTAAATTAAAAGTGACAAATACGATGTAAGATCCAGTGAAACCCTCTACTATACCATTAAATGTTGTTGTGGAACAGTGGGTTAGATGTCAAGAGGTTCAAGTTTTAAGCGTGATTCCGCTAGTTTAAACCTCATCGACACAGATGGGTTCGACCAACTGCGTAGTGTTACTAATCTTAACATAATGGGTGTGGCTCAAAACCAAGTAAATGAATCTATATCTAGTTGGTGAATTATTTATTACAAATATTGCTCTGAGGATTAGATTCCCCATCTGTTAACCACTATTTGAAGGCCGTATGACCGAATTGATGGGCCACCACTTCACAAATCCGCGATACCGTTTACAGGATTTTGAATTAAGCATAATATTATTATTTGGATATTGCAGAAAAATATACCAAATTAATTGTACAAGCTTACTGTGCATTAATGGCAATTTTTTCAACTAACCCTATGGATTCGCATTGTGGTTGAGTCCACAAAACGCCAAGAAACAGGACATAACAAAAATGTCACATCGACTAGAGATTTGGTATTTTAAATAAGATCTCTTGATCAACTACTTAACCAGTCAGTCAGCTACAACGTAGGACCAGGCACATATATGCATCGGTACAAGTTGCCATACCTCGTTAGCACAACAAGATGAACGCCGGATTCACAGAAGTAGTTAATTTAGTGGTGTTAATATATGAAAGAAAGACTGTATATAAGGATATAGTATAGGAAGGAAAAAAAAGTTATGAAGCAATTTTAATCTCATAGTGTAAGGGAAGACAAAGAGTGTATACACCTACGCCATTGTGATCGATTCTGAGCCATGTCACACAGGGTCTCCAGCCATTGGTTATGATAGTCACGCGGACCTCAACCAAGTAGTTTGCATCTGCCAACATGGCTCAGACTAGAAGTTAGTGACTTCAAGCACTGATGCTATGTTTTTGTTTGGCCGCCCTTAACTCTCTTCCAACCATCCCCTACACTAGTAAGCATAGCGCGTCGTGGTAATCGGTGTTCAGGCATACGTAACACCTGGCCAACTACTTAACCAACCGAAGATAAAATTAATATTGTGTTGTATCAACAAGGAATTTATAAAATAGTATCAATCAAAAAGCAGAGTAAGAGATGTCAATAAACTTACCTCCTCAAGATAATTGACAGTATTCCAGAGTGTTTTGGAAACAAACTTTGATTCTGTCAATTCCATTAGATCAAAATCTATAAGATAATCATACGATTTCCAGGCCCATTCAGATGAACGAGCTTGGTGCTTTGAATGTGGACTTGTGTTGTTATTACGATACTCACAGACAATGAAGATAATAAAGGTTGAAAGGGAAAGTCCACGAAAGGGAACATCGTTTAGAAAACTACCGATACCAAGTCCCAACATTAGACTATCAACAAATACAGAGAATAATAGTTTACACTCACTTGTCCACAATAATATATATGTTTCACGACTAAGAATTTTTAAAATTGCAACAGCTACATCCAGTAATCCTTCATTATTAAACAAATCAAACAACATGGTAGATTGTTTTAGTATCTGATCATTTACCTTGTTCAGTAGTTTGAAAAGACAAACCCAAAATGTTCTATACACATCTAAACAATTATATTTATAAGATAATTCTTGGATAAGGTGAATAAAATGAAATGAGAACGTAGAAAAAGTTCTTGGATTATCTGTAGTCAAAAGTGAATCAAAAAGTTTAAAGATCAATTTATCGATTGCTGAATTTTTTGATCCCCAGTAGAGATGACAAACCTCTTCGAAAAAGTTGAACGCGGTGTATATACTAGAAGTCATGGGATTGGAAACAGAATCGTTACAATGAGATACTAAGTAGTCTACTACATCAGTTACATCCGATAATGAAATTATTGAACATGGTGAACAGTGGACTAAGATTCTTGACAAGACCCACAACCTTGCATGGTACTTGTCTACTTCATTTTCCTTAACGGAATTCGAGTTTTTCGTAAGGACAGACAGAATTTTCTTCAATAACTCATTTCCAGATTCCATATGGAGCGAAGCATTTGTATGCAGACAAACTGGGTTTGTAATACGAAAAACATTATCAGTTTCATCGTTTTCTAAATATTTATACAAAGAAAAAGACCATTCATCTGTGACAAATTTCCACAGCTCGTGACACAGTTCTTTATTGCATTTTAAACAAAAATTGATTATCGAGGCACACAGCTCAGGTAAGTTACGTAAAGGCTTCAAAAATGAAACCCAATCACTGTTGGTTGATGGTGAGCTCACAATACGAGTGAAAACCAAAAAGAGCAACTTAGCTTGTAGCTCTGAGGGAAATGAATCAAAAGTAGTCACGCTGAATTGAAACTTATCCGGTATTTGCAAAGTATCAAATTCTACATTAAACTTCTGAATCAATTCTGCGATGAGAAACAAGACTTCAGTACCAAAAGCTGACAGTTGAACACATTCATTGAAAGGCTCTTGGCTAGCATCAAGCTTGTTATTTACAAGAAGATGAAGAAAAATAAATGCACATATGATAACGGTATTCTTGAAAACATGGAAATTTGTTTCCTTAGATAGACCATGAAGGAGCTTAAGGACTTTCGAAGAATTGATCCAAGATATATAGCTAATGTCTGTAATAGAACGAAGACTTTTTAAACAATTAGCTAACGTCTCAATGAGTGTAATATCGACATTTTTGTTGGATATATCGAGAGCATATGACACGACGTGATGGAGGCCGAAATCCCCATTTCCGAAAATATAACCATAGCGAAAGGAAAGAGACACTGCAGCTTTCAGAATGATATGCAATTCAGTAGTGTAATCCCAATCAATGTCCCATCGAGAAGCGTGTTTCGACATAAGATGCCATTCACTGACTGGCAACGTGGACCAAAAATCAGTGTGAAATTCATGCTGGCATACTACTGACAAGCACAGCCTATTTATTAAGGTGTCATCAAGCTTTCCTGGGAATTTCGCATCAAAAATTGTAGCGATGCTGTAACCTGGTGTTTTCATAAATTTGCGTGTTTCAAGGTTGACATCTCCGAAGTCCAATATCTTTGTCACGAGCTTGTATCAATCAATCGATTTCTTTGCTACAGCTCCTTGTTTTTAGGTACAGCTCCACGTATTCGATAATGTCGAATACGTCGTATTCTGGCCACTTGACCACATTAAATCCAGTCAGTTAGGTAGCTATTTGTGGATTTCTATGTGTTGTGGTGTGAGTATGTTTGGTTTAGGAAAGTAGGGTTTCTAGGTGCTAGTAATTATCATCTTGTCAGACAGGAGGTTTGTTGACGGTAACTTTCAGTGTTAAAAGCAAGAGTGTACCTCTTATTCTCCTGTGGCTTAATGAGAATGAGAATGTAGTCTGTCATCGTAGGATTTACGTTTTAGACCTAACACTTACTTGGATGCCCATCTCCGTACTCGGTTCAAGAGATTTACATGTGTTTCCGGGGGTGTAACGACACTGTGAACTTAATCGGCAAGCCGAGCGTTTATTTTAAACAGTGTTAGGAACGACTATAGGGTGCTTGTGTCAAGTTGACTTTTCATAAACTGGAGAGTTGTGTTTGTCTTGACTGTGTCCCCATGTAAGTTGGTATGATGTCTAAGCTCTCTGTGGACACATGTCCAAAACTCCAGCTTGAAGCAAACAGTCAGCAGAGGGTTTCGATGTAGAGTGTAAGTGCTTATTGCCGAGTGAGACAGAATGTTCACGACATGACATTTCGACCAGTTACATTTTAACAGACTGTCTACTGTCCAATCATTTATCGCTGTACTCCTTTTTCGAAGGTTTAGCGAGTCCGTTTTGATTTTTGTGGACCTCCAGATGTTTCCGTTGTCTGCATAGATCAGTGAAGCCGTGTAGATTGGACCTGAGATCGTTTCTCGTATAACTACTGACTTTAAGGCCTTTCAACTGGCGTGCATTCTATTTACCTCGGTGGGAGACATCCTGTTATTTAAGTAGTTTCGGAGCCACAATATAAATGGGTCAGTAAAACCTATCTTCTCAACCTTCACCCGGGAAGTAAGTGAGGTACTATGTCAAAGGCTTTCGAGAAATGGAGGCATATTGCATGAATTTATATAATATGGTCACTTCAGGTCGACCAGCCGTCCTATATTATCAGGAGATAAAATATACAGTAACTCCCTTATGCAAACTCATGTTGTACTTCTTGTAGGATCTGATTTTCACCCATGTATTCCGGACTTTGTTCGATTATCAGTCCTTCCATTGCATTCGTTATTATTGGGAGTAATGTGACTGACCTGTAAAGGGCTTGATGTATTCTCTATCACCCTTTGAACACTTAGAGAGCGCTCTGTTTCTTTTCTGTTTTGGTTTTGTGAGACCATAGTGACTAATAATTAATATAATAATATTAACATATTTCTGCATTAGCAGGTACACGCCATTTTTACAGGCATGATCTACAATTTATAACATATACTGGTTCACAGTATGCATCCCAAACAAGCTTGTTTAGTAATTATAATCTATAAAAGTTGATAGCGGTTCATTCGTTCAGATATAATGTGTTTTCATAAGAATAGTTTCCAAAGGGGCATAGCGTCCACGTTATATACCAGATCCAATCTCGACAAAAAGTGTAATAGGTTTTCGGTAGTGCTAAGTATTTATGTAATGCAGCTTTTTAAGTTTATAGTTGTTATAAAGTAGGCTTGTGGAACGCCTGGTTCGAGCTATGACCTTGGGAAAGCGCGTTCGTCAAGCTTGTTCCAGATGTCAGAAGTTACATGGCTTCACCCTCAAAGCAAGATTCTGAAGAGAAAAAATAAAAGAGAAACCGAGGAGCAGCAAGGCATTTGGATATGAGCGATAACCAATGCTTAACATTTATTAGTGGAACAGATGGAGGTATGATAAATTATTAGATTAAATTGATACTAGCTCATGTTGCAAGAGTAAACTGCGATTAGGGGCTCCAGAAGAGAGAAGGCAGTGATAAAAAACAATGAGTTGGGATATTTATCAAGGTGGAGCAGGTTCCAATGAAGGAGGGAAGTCAAGGTTGGAATGAGGAAGAACAGAGAGTGCATATAGAGAGTAGTGTTAAGTAAAATATAGATGACCTGTTATCATTATCGACTGAGCTAGCAAATTATCAGTACTAATCAACATATTATGATGATACACTTGAGCATTAATCGGAGGACTAAGAGAATAATAGGTTAACACATGTAAAATATCGACAAACAGTGGGACTGAGGATTATTAACAAGCTGTGTTTCTTTCATCGTTCTTACAAATCTAGAATTATTGTCTACTGCTCTAATAATATGCCTAATCCCAAAATTGTAGATTTGTCATAATGTGACTACCTAGTCTATAAGATCTTACCCGGAAGTGGTATCATTGTCTACGCTGGCTCATCGTATAGTGACAACTGACGACATTGTTTGTGTCTCTGAAGAACACTTTTAGGCTGGATGTAGAACAATTTGGTTAATACAGATAAAAGAGATAATTTACACAAGAATGACCACTCCCGCAAGACTGAGCCATGTCATTCAATTTAATTAGATTGAATGCTCCCGAATTCTACATAATTAACCTTCTCTTCGTGTTATCTGCTGAATATAAATCTCCTCGGTAATTATATGTTCGGCGTCAAAGGTCGTGTGGTTACGGTCTAATGCGACTACAAGTTCTTAAGTAGATCGAGTAGCAGTGTACTAATGGCTTCCGCTCATATTTTTAGGATTATAGGTCAGTTGTTGTCGTATCCTGGTGACTTTCCCAGACGCAGGAATTTTTCTTTTCTCAGTACTAATGCGAAAGTTAGTTTGATATTCCGTAGATTGTTGGAACTAGAGTTGAGGGACATTTACGTTAGTGGTTTCCTGAGTAAGTTGGTCCGTGAAGTTGGCATGAAATACTCCTGGCATCTCTAAGTCGATAGAATGTCAATTTGACCGTTTAGGAGCACAAACCTCTTTGTTTGCAAATTTTCTTTTACTCGTGATACTGTAGAGATAATTGGGGATAGCTTGTGTTTTGGCTGTTAGTTTAATTTGGAAAGGTCTCCTATTTCTCCGAACTTTGGTGTTGCATCTGTTTCTCAATCCAAAATAAAAGCCGCTGCCAGTATCCTTTACGGAGACCTACAGGTTGGACCAGCCCCTCCGTATGGATTGAAAAGAGAGCTCTGTGCATCGCGTAACCCAAGACCTTCGCTTGACGAGTATATGCTTACCATGAGATACATTGCGTAAGACGGCATTCCGAATGATATCCCTCACTATCTCTCATATGCCATTTTTTGTCAGTCATTACCACTCCAGTGAACACGTGGATTGTTAAAAATGCCAATCATCGTCGTTCAGTCTGTGCTAGTATAGCCAAAATATAGAAGCACCCCATTTGTGGTCACGTTAAACACGACTGCATAATGGTCTCCAGTTCCGACTGGTGATTAGATATGAACATCTTCAACTATAAACTGGTCATTTGTAAGAAAAAATCTAACTTTCAAGGTTTTCCGTCCTCACCTTATCGTGTGGCACCACCCACATTTCCAGCAAGTTGTTTGGAAACCCGGAGACATTCTTTTGTTCAGGAATGCCAGGTAATAAAGCAAACCATCAAGTGCTTTCATAGAAATGTGAATGGACTAAGGTGACAACTAGGAGAGACCCGAAACATGTGCCTTCAGTTAGATGTGATGGGCCATAATCCTAACTTAGATTTGGCTGTTTCCCGAAATCGCGGATGATGAAGTTATCAAGCAATGCATGATACAGTTAAAATACGATAAAGTACACAAAACATGAAGCGGAGTGTTGATATAAATTGAAAGCCATTTCGAATCCGTAGCGCCATACAGTGACAATGCGACAGAGGAGCCAGCCACTGCAAAAATTACATTCGACTCCCATGTCCCTTCTTCAACGAGCTTAGAAGATGCGATACAATAGTCGTTATTGTGTCATTTTCGTCCAGTAATAGCAGAAAAACACCATTAGTCTGGAACGCTTTCCTCTCCTATATCTTTTTCGCTTGCTGGTCTTACTATATGCAGGGACATGGGAAGAAATGTGATGCTTATTACTAAGGGATTCGGTCTCTGTATTCGAGTGAACCACGTTGTGTTCATTACACTGAGACTCTTTTTCTGTCTTCGACTCAAGATTTCTTGTAATCCCGTTACTAGAAACAGGCATTTTGACTAATCAGTAACTCACGACTTGAGGCGTCTACTAATCGTCTTTGCAGTTATAGTATAAGCACTGGTGGTAACGCTGCTACTAGGCATGTTCCTCAGTAGACAAAGAAGTATATTGGCAGATAATTAAAAGAGGACGTACACCTTATATGAGTTTAGAAACAGAAAAATAATCGAGATTTGTGAATATACGCCACTCATGAACAGAATCTGAAAAACAGTTAAAATTGCAGAGTTACTGCTGGTCGTCCTATCGAACAACTCCTCATGGACACAGTAACTTATCCACAACTTCTGTGTTTGCGAGAAAATGAATATATTTTGTTACTGAAGCAACTAGGAAGAGAGTAGCTGATCAAGATATCTAGATCTACCGCACAGTTATTAAATCGTTGCTTAATTATGGTCAGATTTCTTCTCACGGTTGTCTGTCAGCGGGGTGAAGAAGCAGTTTATATCCCCAGAAGCGTTTAAATATTCCAGTGTGTTCACAGAGAACTGGACGGTTCCAATTATTGATGGGATATAAACGGTGTTATGTCTGACTTGAAGAGCGCTTGTTCAGTCAGCCAGGGTTTGTGATGTTTCATTTTTGTATTGTGATCTGGCAATTTTATTAGTTTGGTACATCGTTTGGTACTTCATTGTGCAAAACTTTTGCCAGTCATACAGAATCCTTATTATTAGTATGTAATTGTTATCATTTCGGCAACTGTTTTCAGAGTTTTCACTTTAAGGTAGATTTCTCATGTTTTTAAAAATGAAAATTTGCACCAGTAAGCAGAGATGGATAGTGGCTCGTCAGCTGGATGCACCTGT